CAGACTCAACTGCTGAAGCTCTTGATCAGTTTGGATCACATTGAGAACAGTTCATGTTAGAGAAAAAACAAGGGAAGATGATTACTCTTAACAGCAAGGGCAGAGAAGCGGTGATCACTTAATCTAAGAACTGCCTTTGCTTATCTTGAGCAGACAGATTTTAGTCCATCTCCACATATTATGTCTACAACAATGGGAATCAGTAGTTGCTTTATGATTTATTTATTTTTTCCCCCTCAGGATAGTGCATCAACTAAAAGAGTAAGTTGTACCTAAAAGGTCCTCAGGAGCCACATGTCTTCGTCTACTGAAAGCTAAGCAAATCTGCCTAGCTTATTTTGTCCTCATGCACAAGAGGAAGATAATATTTCCCTACATTACAATGAAAAAACAGCATATTTAACCTAGAACTTCCACTTGCATCCTTATTTAGCCCAAGACTGAACAGGGAACTGAAGGCAGCTTATCCCAGTGCAGGAATTCCTGGGGAAGATGCCAGCACTTTAATATGCTGATCAAGCTGATGAGAGCATCACTTTGTTAGAACAAAAGGCAGAAAGTAGGCACAGCATACTTGATTGATCAGTTCTGGTTTGACTCAGGTAGATTACTTGGTGAAGATTAGCTTTCCTCCTCCCCACCCCCCAACTCCTCTCCCCTTTTCACTGCTTTACCGGAGTATTTGTGTTGCAGCTGCATCCTGGTTGCTGAGGGATGGCAGACTGCATCATTACTGCAGCAATGCTGCTGAAGGACTCATCTAGTCTTGGTGACAGACTTTTACAGTGGGGCATTAAGTCATGTTTTAGTCCCATGACTGGGTGAGGATAGTGGCAGAGAGATAATTGAATTAGCTAGTAATGCCATTCACTCAAGCAAGTCAGCTGTGTTAAGACACTTTCCTCCCCTGCTCAAGTGGCACACCTGTGAGGTCTTCGCTGGACATGATTTCTACAGCTTAAAAGCTACAGTTTAAAAAGGAAAGTCAACAAACAATATAAACAGGAGATCTTAAGAGACAGCATTAGTCTAATATTCTCTCACCTTGGAGTGTCTCAGCTTTACTGTGATGCTAAGCTCTTTAAGAGCCAAGCTGTGCAGACAGAACACCAGAACAGTCGGGTCTTGGGAACATCACCTGCCATCGCTACAACGCTCTTGTGTAGATCAGCTTTCCAGCCTCTAAACATTGATTGTCTGGATGCACAGAGATGACATTGTTTAATACCAAACAGGTATAAGTATTTAAATCTAAACTTCTTAGACTGGATTGGAGATTTGCCTATATCAGGCCTATTCAAAGCTTTAAGTGAGCATGCTTACCCACAAACCAATTTAAAGCACAACTGGAGCTCCAGAACTCAGTAAGTAGCCAAGTCACTGACTTGCCCCAATAGCCATAACAAAGCCCTTCTTTCTTACTCTATCCCACACTGGTTTAAGAACTGCTGTTAGGATTTTTACAGTCTGATTTTCCAGAAGCCACAAGACAGTAATTTTATTTTCTAAGAACCCCAGCTGCTGTACAGCTGTTCTTTATTGCTTGACAGCAGAAGTTAAGAGCCTTACTCAAAATCACATGAGCTTGATAGTCTAGAACTTCAGTGCTTTCCTGGAAGCTTGTCCCCCCCAGCCCAGCGAGTGTCCAGGCTCCACCAGGCTCTACAGCCCCATGACCAAGCAGGGCTCCCAGCCCATGAAACAACACACAAGAACTGAGGAATGATAAAGCATCCACAAAAATTACTCAGTCATTTACAGCCACATCTATAGATCATTGGCAGTAGATGCCTTGGCAGAGGCTAATAAATTTGGCAGATAACAGGCAAGTTTCCTCTAAGATTACTTCATCAAAATCTTGCTATACTGGAGCACGTCTTACTTCTACAAAGCTGTAAAAACCCCATCCTGACTCAGTTTCAACTCTCCACTCCTTGAGACTAGTCTCTGAATGCAACACCAAAGGGCAACTAACTCCCACTACATCAATCTCACTTTTAATATTGTTTTTCCCACTCCTAACTGAATGACCACTTGCTGTGGAACAGCTTTCAATTGCTGTGTCAAAACCCAGCCTTTACTCAGGGTTTATAGGCTGGAGTGTCTCAATTGATAAGCTGCTCTCTTCAGCTTAATACTGCCTCCTCCGAAACACCTTCTTTAAACACCAACTAGAACAACTCTCTTCCCTATAGTGCTTTTATTTGCTTGTAGGACATCTGGCTCCTTAATGCCCCCCCCCTCTTGCTAACTACCTTTTATTAGGCTTTTTGGCATCACATGTCTCATCTGTCATGCTGGACCTATTTCCCTTAAAGGAGCATGCAACTGAGTAAGTCTGAAAAGGCACTGACAAAAGCACACTTTTTCTGACAAATGCACATTCTGATCCAAACCATCATCCTCATAAAATCTTACTTGCCCCAAATTATGAGATGTTAGAGCGCCTTAATGAAACAGCTGAGATATTTTTAACATGATCAAAAAACCTATTTTATCTGCTGACCTTCAGCTCAGAAATAGCTGCACCATTTTTTTCAGAGACTTCCAAAAACTGACTGCACAGAGTGAAATCCGTCACACCCCACACACACATTTTCAGCCTCAATATATAAAGTTCGGCATCATATCACTAGGTGAAAACATGGTCTCTCAACAGAAGATGTTAAACAACTGCAGCTACTCCCAACTTCCTGCTCTATCTATAAAAATAACAGGCTCAAGTGACCGAGGCCTCAGCTGTTCATCTCACTCAGTATACCAGAAATATGCAGCAGGGAGATACATATCTTGCACTTTAATGATTTCTGCTAAAGTAGATGGCAAATCCCCTTTTTCTTCCAGAACAGAAAACAGACTGTAAAAGAGGATTCTGATTTGCCTCTTCCCACATATATATACCTGCTATACCTAAACAGACCCAGATTAGCTTCTGAGAGCTAAGCAAGCTGTTTCATCAGGTCATTAATGGGTTAAATAAACAGCTATGGGATATAGTACTGATTCCCCTAAGCTTCTTGCTAAATGTGCTATGTAGTAATATCACACATAATAGTAAGGGGACATCTCTGGAGCTGGATTATTTGTCCAGCTGGCTCTTTCAGATGAGTTATTTACCCCCTCACCAAGTTTAATTTGTTAAATTTCATCACTTGAGTTATGCTTGTGATCCCCCTTCTGCTGGTTTCAGAAATAGGGCCTCTGCTAGAGGCATTCAGACTTTGCCCAGTCCAAAGCTGCATTAGTAACATGGTCAGAATCATAAAGCAATGTGTAATGTGAAGCAGGATAGACTGCAGTCTCCCTCATCCTTAGTTTGGACCTGTATCTTGCAGACAAACCTAGGTGCTAACACTCCGTGCCACACTGACACCTTTGCAATACCATAAGGGGTCATTCTGAGATCAGGTACACATGCTGATGAAAGAACCTCCAGAACAGAACGGTAAAGAAGGTTACGGCATCAAGAAATTATACTGTAAATATAATTCAAAGTTATATCACCAATATAATGCAAGGTTTGTCTCATATATGAAATGTCATTGCTAGATTATCAGCCTGAGCAGCAAGGTACCCCAATTCTGTTCTCAGTTCTGCCAATGTGACTCAGTTTTCCCATCTGTAAAGTAGCTGTGGTAAAGTGTTTCTAGTTGTGTAAATAATTTGAGACCTTTGACTGAAAAAGACAGTGGGAATGGTGTTTAATCTTGCCATATAACGTAATGCCATTACTGGATACAGTTATATCTATTTCACTGTATAAGTTTGCCTTACAACTCCATGCTATTGCCATACAGATCATGGTTTGCAAACCCAGCATTTTCTGAAGTCTAGGATGGTATCTAAGAAGTCTGTCTGGCCAGGGCTCTTAACAAAGGAGTTTTTAATATTCATACTAATTTTATGTGTTGCATCATGGGGAGCTGGTGGAATCCATAATTAGAGCCCTGATGTAGCAGTGAGCCCAATGCCAGCAGAGGCCCCGAGTCTGACTACAGCATGCTTAGGTCTTAGAGCCAGCAACTGTAAAGATTTCCATACGTTAATGCACCTAGTGGAGCCAACTAGGGAAATGATACCTATGACATTGTTCATCCCACTGAATTTAAAGACAACAGCTGAGCTTCAGTGAAAGTTGTACATTGTACCAGGACATTTTATAAGAGCACTCTGCTGCATTCATTCTTGGGCAGTGAGGGGGAGGGGGGTCATTTGTAGAGTTTTGCATCTCTTCTGTCTGCTTCTCATCACTCCACCTGCTTTCCCAAACCCTATGTGTCTAAAATCACTGTCAGGCACTCCTGGAGGTTCACAAGGTACTTGCTTTGTTTAGAAAACATAGGACTGGAGTGGTGGCTGCCCATGTGTAGTTAGAAGGTAGTATGCTAGAGCCACAGTAATTTCAGGACACAAAGTAATGCAAGGTCTGTAGGCAAATGTATATGCACGTATATATAAAAGTAGACCAGACGATGCAACTGTGGAAGATAGAGAATGTTTCTTTTGGTTACTGAAACTCCTGGCCTCGGTAAAGGTTTTGGTCTCATGGTGCATCACAAACCTCTCCAGCCCAAATGTGCTACAAAAGAAAGCACCACACCCCATCCATGCGGACACACCTGATGCAACCCCCAGGTGCCGAAAGGTTGCAAGCCTCAGTGCCCAGGGCGCACTCACACAGCCGGGGCTGGGCACGGGTGGCTAGGCAAGGGTAGCTGTCCCCACTGTGGCCTGTGTCCCCAGGGCCCTGCACTTTTCGCCCCTCCCGACCGCCGCTCTCCGGCTAGAGCCGACGCAAACCGCAGAATCTCTCGGCGGTGGGAGGAGCGCCCCGGCGGGCGGGGCGATGTGTCGGGCCCGCCCGCCGCCGCCGCCGCGGCCCCACACGCGGGCCCAGGGGGAGGGAGGTGAGTGGGGGGCGGCGGGTCGGGGCACGGAAGATGGAGTGGGCTCTTAGCCCGGCTTCCCCCGCCGCGGCAGCGTGTGGCAGCAAGGGAAAGGCGGCTTTCTCCCGTGCGTGGCCGGGCAGCCCCGTGCGGCGGCCTTCCCGCTCCGTGGGCGGCCGGGGCCGGCGGGAGGTTTCCGCGGTGCCCGGAGGAGCGAAAGGCAGCGGCCCCGGCCCTGGCCCCGCTTCCCTCCGCGTAACGCCCGTTGTCCTACCAACCCACTCCCCGGCAAACCGCTTCCCCCACGCCCCCGCCGTGCTTCTCGGCACGGCCAGCCGCCCCTGTCACGCGTGTTGGTGCCGCATACCTGTGTCCGTGGTGAGGGACGGTCACCGAGCCTTTTCTGCATCCCCAGGGCTCGGGAAGCCGGGAGGAAATCGCCAGCGGACGAGTCTGGGGAAAGCGGATGGTGAGAGTGGGGTCTCCGGGCGCAGGCTGGCGGTGACAGCAAGGTACCCACGCCGCAGAGGTTTCGTCGCTGGGCTTTGGTGTCGGGCTGGCTGCGATGGTGCCTACGCACTGTAGTGATTTTTCTCACTGTAACCCTGTCCTCCTACTCCAGGGCTTCGGAGTCGGAGCCGCTGTGGCTGTGCTGGGCCAGAGCTTGCTTGCTTGTAGGAGTGAGACTGTGTGTCGGTGCGGCACTGGACGGGTAACAAGAAAGGCCAAACAGTAATTCAGGCATCTCTCAGCTTGCTTTTACTGTGAGTCTCCACATTAAGCCTCTGACCTTTCCAGGAGCTCACAGTGAGGTCATTCCCACTCCAATGTTTGCATATGCAGAAGACCAATATGTTTTTCCTGATTCTCAAGGAATCTCAGTAACTCTTTCCTTCTTGTGTTGCATGTGCACAGCCACCTAGGAGCCCCAGGCCACGCTGCATTTGGCCACTCATCTGTTAATTCTTTTTCAGTGGGGATGCAGCAGTAACAAAAAAGATCTTTTCCAGTTTTCCCATACAGCAGGGGAACTTAAATGACCTCAAGTGAGCTCCTGTCAAACTGGAACTCCAGGGACTGCAAGGGAATGCACAGTCTTACACATACTGCTGGGTTAAGCTCTTACAGTGTTTTATATAGATCGGGCCCAGGAGTCTTTTCCAGAAGCCTGACTGAGTAACTTTGTTCTGGCTGGCTGGGGGATTTTTAGAGTTTTATTTTTTAATGTGAACAGTGGTAATTATCTGATATGAAGGCGGTAAACAAACATCCCTCAGTTTACTGTGCTTATTCTGGGCAGTGTAGCACAATATTTTGCAATTGGGAGTGTTGTGAAACTGGTTTTCAGTTGGTTTGGAAATACATGTGACTGTGTAGCTGAATCTGCCAGGAAACTACTTGGCTAATTCACTAATTTCCTTGGGTACATGGAAGAAAATGACCCACCCAAACCCTTTCCATTCCACAGTAGGTACCTGCTCTTCAGCTGTGGTCTCTGTACAGCATGGCAGTAACTGCAGCCTGCCAAGGTGCAACGGGCACTACGTCAAACATCTGTAGGTTCCTGGAATAAAGGTTGCTCAAGCAAATGTAAATATTACTTTATTGCACTGAGAAACTTATCTGTGCTATAACCATGTAGTGGGGGAAGAAAAAACAAATCTCTGCTTAAAATTATAATAATTTATACTGCCAGCAAAATCTTAGGAGCCACATTTCTGCCCCTCTGCAATTGCCAGCACTATTTGTTGGATTCCTTAAGTGGGTATGTGGAGCTTACATAGTACAGCAAGAAGGGAGGGAAGGGAGGCAGTCACAACAGAAGGCTGGGGAAGGGTGATAAGAGTTAGATTCACAGACTACAATATACCTGTTGAAGCTCTCTGGAGAAGAGCAATGGATGGATACTGGGCCAACTCTTGAGGGAGTGATGTGCCCTGTGGGGAGCACTGGGGCTCTCTCCTTGCTCAGTGGCAGAGTGGGCTGTGGTTGTGGTGGGCTAACTGATGCTCAGCTGCTGTCGGATTTCCATGCAGAAAATGGGGAAGGAAAAGCTAAGGAGTCTCTATGCAAACTGACCTTTGAGAGGGATGCTGGGGTGCCCAGAAGGCACAGCAGCATCACCTAAGTGCCATCCTGCCGTCCTGGGGAGGGTCACTAAAAGTGCCTCCTTCTCACTGCACCAGGGTTACAGTCCTGGGAAGCCCTTTCTTCTGAGGGTTGAAGTGGGGGACTGCTCCTGGGGAGGCTTGCTAGGGTCTCAGCTGGAGACCTTCAGCATGGATCTGAGCTCAGAGGTAAAGCAGAGCAGTTAGTCAGGAAGACACTGCCTGCATTTTGTCTGCTCACAAATGGCAGTCAAAAGGTTTAGCACAGCCAGAGTGTATGGGCTGAGAGCTGGGATGTGCTGGGACATCGCTGGCACACACACATTTGCTTATTCTCTGTTGTAACTGAGTCTTTCCTCCCATTAACCAGGAAGAGAACAACCTGCCTTTTCTTACTTGCATTGATCAGAGAGTCTGCCATACACTCAGTCACAGGAGAAGAGAGATCTCCACTTCAGAGAGGCTGTGGAGAAGACAAGTTTCCAGCTACTTTTGCCACTGCGGTTTCTATAAAGTTCCTGTATTACTCAGGTGAGTCTGCTGGGGAGAGAAACGTGAGATTTATGAATACCAGTTCAAGCTGCAGACAGGGGAAGATACTCTGAAGTTCCTTGTTTTGATTTAGCTATCCTCATTCTTTAGCTGACTTAGATCCTTTGTGGATTTAGTGATGGAACAGTGACTTTTCTGGGAGCTTTGCAGTGGGAGAGCCAGTCAAGAGCTAGGACAAGATCTGTGTTTCATCCCTCTGCCATTCAAGGGGAGCAAGGATCAGGCCTTTTGCGCCAGGCTAGGAAAAACAATCCTGAGTAATTCTAGGCAGGTAAAAGCTAACAGCTTTTGCTCCTAGGGCATATGTACAGATGCAGCTGGAGCTATGGAGCCAGTGATATGTTTTCCAGCAGACTGTGAATGCATGAATCTGATGAGACACTCTCCTGTCTTGTCTCTGCCTGCAGAAGGTTAAGTTGATCATGTTCATTCTCATACCCAAGATCCATTTCTCAGTTGTATGGACACAAAACTGCCATTTTAAAAATGGTGTAATCACGCCAGTGCAAAGCCTAGTGAGACTGCAACTGCACCAGTATAAAAAAGCCATGTACTTTTTCCTCTTTGTATCAAAAAATGGCTGGTTTTCCTATACAGGTAAAATTAAAAGTTAGAAATTTATTGACCAGAACTAAAAGTTTTTAAAGAAGTTAATTATCTTGTGTGCTGTGAAGGCTATGATCCAACTAAACACAACTTCAGAAAATGAAATTAAGAGAATGAGATAGCCAGTGTAAGAGCTTCTGAAATAATACCTGATGTAATGAGAACAGCACAATGGTTTTTTCACTTGTTCTGGATTATCTCTCTTGAGATGTAAAGTCATTGCCATGTTTCTAGGTATAAGAACTAAATGTGTCATTTCTTTTAAAAACAACTTTATTTTGGATTCGAGAAACAAGAATAAATAAGAATGAACAAAAGGGCTTTTTGGTCAGGGAGACCAGTTGTTGTTGGCTGTAGTGGTTTGAATGGGTACTGAGTGGAGAAGGCCAAAACGGTGCTGACATGCACTCTGCAGTGATGGAAAGTTGCAGTAGGCAGAACACAAACCCCCCATTGTCTCCGGGCTGCGTACACAACCATCATGAGGCAGCATCTAGACTGGCTCATGTCTAGACTCAGTTTTAAGGACTAAACTTCTTCCCCTGTGTTGTTTTATCAGACCATTCGTCTCCCAGTAGTTTATTAGAACCTAATTCAGCTCTGTTCATAAGTGATGGTGCACATGAGTCATTAAGGTACACTGCATTAAAGAACAGCCTGTGTACTAGAACTGCCAGTGGTTATGCTTGTTTCTGAGCTGCTGTGACAATATTGACATGAAGCAGTGCCACAACAGCATAATACCATTTGACCAAAGTCCCAAACAGGAGGTTGTTGAAAGCAGTACTTAATTTGCAGGCACATGTTCATCTGTAGACAGCTCTGAAATATGTATTAAAATGGTTTTCAGTTTCACAGTCTAAAGGCATTGACACCCCCTCATTAACTCAGCTGTGGGAACAATGCTTAGGCTACCGAAAGACCGTAGGCACATGCTGTCTTCCACTTCTTGGTTTGCATAAGGAGGCTACAGTCTTTTCAAGAGCTCCAGTTACTACCATGATTCAAATCATGGAGGGGAGGAGAGACTGTTGGGCGGACGATCCAGGCAGAAGTCCCTGGCTCTTCAGCCATGGGAAAGCAGGTACCTTGCACTGTGTTTTGCAGTGTTATAACATGGATTGGCAGATTTTCTTTTTTAATCCTGTCCTCTAGTGATCTTGGATCTACCTCTTCTCTCCAAAGATGCTGAGAAGAGTCCTGTGTACAGTGTTGCTCATGGGAGCCTTGCCATCACTGGCTGAAGCATCCCGGGGCCACATCTCAGTGGTCTTGCTGGGAGCCACAGGTGATTTGGCCAAGAAGTATTTGTGGCAGGGTTTATTCCAACTCTACATGGACCAAGTGAGCAGTGGCCACAGCTTCACTTTCCACGGGGCTGCACTGACTGCTCTGGAGCCAGGGCAGAGGCTGATGTTTGATGTGCTGAAGAAGCTGGCCTGTCCCCCAGATGAATCTCCCGACAGATGTGCTGTGCTCAAGGACCAATTCCTGAAGCTGAGCCAATACCACCAGCTGAAGACTGCCGAAAACTACACTGTGCTGAACAGAGAGATTGAGATGCTGCTTCGCCAGGAGGGGCTGAAAGAGGCTGGAAGGATCTTCTACTTCTCAGTACCACCATTTGCCTACACAGAGATTGCCCGCCACATCAACAGCAGCTGCAGACCACCTCCAGGAGCCTGGTTGCGTGTGGTGCTGGAGAAGCCTTTCGGCCATGACCTGGAGTCAGCCCAGCAGCTGGCTGCAGAGCTGACAAGCTTCTTCAGGGAAGAGGAGATGTACCGGGTGGACCACTACCTTGGCAAACAGGTGAGCAGCTTGCAGTGCGCAGCCCCCTGCCAGGTTGAGGGATTTAGTGGCTGGGAGAGTGTTGGATGTCAGCTCTGATTCTAATGAGAGTGTTGTTCCCCTCTCAAATTCAGGCAGAACCACTGAGTGTGCTCATTTACCTCCAGTTGCTTATGGAGTCCTATATTGTTATTCTTGTCCTGTATTGTGCTGCTGCCCATCTTCTTACAGAGCAGAGGAGATGGGCAGACCACAGCAGGGCTTTCTCCCATTAGAGTGATGAGGGTCCCCTCTCCAGAGGGAAGCCAGGGTGTAGGGGTGAACTGTGTGTATGCATGAAGGAGAGATGCAGAATTCATCTGGTCTTCTCAACAAGGTCAGGGCTTTGATTTCGCTGAATAAGCAAAGCCTTTTCCCTCTCACAGTTCTCCCATCTCATTACACACAGGCCTCTCTGCTTAGCCGTGGCTTCTAGAAGTAGTTTTTAATTTGATATGATAGGGAGCTGATGCGATGTTAGTTTTGTGGGATGCTTAGGAGAAGGTTGCTTCCTGCCCTGTGCTCCACTGAGCGCATGAAGGACTGGCTGCTGCAGGGACAGCTCAGGATGTGGAGCTGCATTGTCCCAGAGGGAATGTGTTCAAGGACGTGCCATCCTTGTTTTAGAGGAATGTGATGCCACATTTTCAAAGTAGCCTGTTCCAGCCATGGCACTGTGGCCAGATTTTACTCAAAAGGTTGCATGTCCAGCTGCAAGGAGCATCTCTATTAAGAGGGGGGATTTCTTCTTTTTTTTTTTTTCTTTTTTTCTTTTTTTTCTCCCAAAAGAAGCAGATGGCTTTAGTGGTGTAAGCATCTGATCTGATGTATTTCAGCACTTTGGAGCTCTACGTTAGTCCCAGGATGGTCTGACTCAGCCCTTTGTCCTTTGACGGATATAAATTGAGTGCTTTGCAGTTTGTAGTTCAGCCTTTTTCACATGAAACCTCAAAATGCCTCAGAAAGACCTTTAATGTCTGCTCTGTACGGTCATTGGAGACCCCATTGTGCATCACTGCAGGCTCTCTTGCTGATTTCTCTCTTCTCTGACCCACTCTGCTCTGTGTGGTGTGGCATGTCTGCTGGCCCGCCAGAGCTGGCCACATCCCAGTGCTGGATGGGGCAGTGAGGCAAAGATACTGTGGGAATCTGGGGAGTTTTTGTTGGGTCTTTGATTTTTCCCTTCACAGGCTGTAGCCCATATCCTGCCTTTTCGAGATCAGAACCGACAATTTCTGGATCCAATTTGGAACCGACATCATGTGGAAAGAGTGGAGATTGTCTTGAAAGAGACTGTGGATGCTAAAGGTTGGTGAGGCAAGTGTGCAGAGCTAGGGTGAATGAGTGAGCAGCAGAACTGGCAGGTTCGTTAATTACATGGAAGTGGCCCTTGAAGTAGTGCTGGTGCAGAAACAAAAAAGAGCAGATGAATGATATATTGCTCCCTGTAAATAGAGAGGGACTGTCTTACACTTACTATGCTAGTGACTGACTTGCTTCCAGGTAGCGTTGCTGCTTCCAAGAAAAAATTCCCACTGCAGTTCAGCTGGGAGCAGGGACACAATCCCCTACTTTGCTCTGCTGCAGAGCTCTGGGGGCATTGCACCTAGCTTTCTACCCCAAATCTTGGTAGAAGGCACTGGATTTGGAATTGATCCAACCTAAGGCCACTTCAGTTCAGTGCTGCAATAATCTGGTGGTTGTAACAACAACCCTTTTTTATGCCTGTCTTGTTAGCTACCAAGCTCACACGGAGTATACATTTGTGCTGTTCTTTGAAGGATGCTTTTGCATCTTTTGCCTGGATGTTACTCGTATCAGCTAGTCGGTGTCAGTCTAGGTACCTAGGTCAGTCTGCATTTATCTGCCTGTTTCTTTCCCTTCCTCTCTATAGTAAGAAAGAGCATTGCAGAGAGAAAATCCAAGCCCAGAGTTGCTAGCATGGGTCTCCTGCTGAAGGACACGGCTGCAATTGCTCCCTGCAATGCTGCAGCATCCGCTCTGCAGTGCTCAGCATAAAGCGCTCTGGGCTGGACTGCCACCCGCAGCACTTCTTGCGATGTCAGGCGCCCTCAGTTCTGCAACATCAGGATTGCTCCTCCACTTGCTTTACCTCCTCTTCTGTATTCCTCCTCCCTCCCTCTCTCCCTCCTTTCCTTCCTCAGCCACCACAAACTCAATTAATGAAATTTTATCAAACTTGGAGTAATCGGCTTGGCAGCCCAGACCTCACCTCTTCACCTGGGCCTGTTTGTGGGAGAGGGATCCACTGCAGAGAGATTTAGGGAGAACAGTGTTGTCTGTGCATAGCCCCAGCTACACCCTGCACCCTCCCTGCTCTGAACAACTTTGCAATTTTTCATTTGATGTCTTTTTTCCCCCTGTGCGGCTTCAGCTGGCAGCCTGGCTCCTAGCAAGTCTGCAGCATTGATTACTTTAATGAATGTGCCTTTGGATTAGAGCAAGGGAGATAAATGTATCAATCAATAGGGGAAGCCTATGGCCGTGATGTAGTCTGCAGTGTGCAGCCTGCTGCTGCTAGACTACAGAAAGGCATCTGTTTGAGTCACTTCCTTTATAAATGCATTGTCCTTCTCCCCTCTGTTTCCACCTGCATAACAAGTCAGGCAGGGAAAGAGATGCAGGGCTTTGTGTGTGAAATTTTGTTGCCCAAGGGCATGGCTCAGCCAGAGCCTTCTGAGGACATGAAAACCAGGGGAAAAGGGGCAGTGAAGAGCAGCACTCATTGCCAGGGCCCAGCTTCAGCTGTTCTGTGAACCTGGTGTGTAGCCTCAGAGCTGCTGGAGTCCCTGTTCTCACCCCACTTTCCAGCTACTCCACACGTTGTGTGGAGTCCCAGGTCCAGGTGCTGTGCTGTGTGGGCCTGGCGTGTCAGGGCAAGGGATATACAGGGGCCCTGCATCGTGCTGTATGTGGGAGGTCTGAGCTGGATATTGCTGCCAGTCACGGACTGCAGCTTCTGAAAGCACAAGCAGCCTAAGAAAGCAAAGCTGCTTTCTGCTCTGTGCACTTGGGGAGTATCAGGCAAGAAACTCCTGCTGGGTTTAAGCCCTGTAAGCACCCAAAGGGAGGATTATGTCTGGCTCTGTGGAAGACAAGCAGTCCTGTGGGAACCCTTTATCTTTATTTTAGCAGCAGAAGCATTCTGCAAGTCCCTCTGGAGGGAGGGAGAGGAAAGGCTTAGAACCATAGAATGGTTTGAGTTGAAAGGGACGTTTGAAGATCATCTAGTCTAATGCTCCTGTCACAGGTAGGGACATCTTTCACTAAGTCAGGTTGCTCAAAGCCCTATCCAGCTAGACCTTGAACACTTCCAGTGATGAGGCATCCGCAACTTCTCTGAGCTTGATAGCTTCAAGTCAAGTGTTGGGCCGGTAGAAGAGGAGCTTGGTGCAAACTAATTTGGGCTTGTGCTCTTTGTTCTCCTTTGCACACATTATACATGCAGAGCACAAGGCTGCAAGAAAACGACATCAGTTTACCAGTATCTTACTTCCTCTTTGTCCTCAGGCCGCACCAGCTTCTATGAGCAGTATGGAGTCATCCGGGACGTGCTGCAGAACCACCTCACAGAGGCCCTGATGTTCCTGACCATGGAGCTCCCAGCCAACGTGAGCAGGGCCGAAGAGGTTTTGCAGTGCAAGCTGCAGGCCTTCCAGTCCTTGCGGGGCCTGGAGAGAACCAGTGCTGTGCTGGGTCAGTATCAGGCATATGCCAGCCAAGTACAGGAGGAACTGCAGAAGGCACAAGACTACATCAGCACAACACCAACCTTTGCAGGTGAGAGTTTGGTCTGGGCCCTGGAGAAGGGAGTTGTCTAGAGCTGAGCAGAGCAGGAGATGTGAGTCCTTGCATGCTGATACCACCCCCATGACTCTGGACATCACTGCTGACACAGGGATGTCTCCAGGCATCCACTGGCATGGTAACTGGGAGCTGTAACAAGATAATACTGCTGTCATGTTAGTTACCTAATGATCCAGTGAATGGGAAGCATTGTCTAAGAGCTAAGTCGCATTATTCTTGATAGGATCTCTGCGTTATATTTAGAAATGGCCTGCAAACTCCTTTGCCTTTTCATAAAGTTGAGTTGCTCTCTGTGTCTGAAGGGTAAAGCATTGGCAGTTCTCTGTGATTAATAGATCACAAGGCCATCTCTGGCCATGCTGTGTCTTCTGAACATTAAACATTCTGTCTGAATGATATTTGTGCTCAGAAGCTGGTTTCCTGCAAAAGGAAAGGAGGCTACTCAAGTAGGATATCTGGGAGGAGGCACAGCAGGGTAACTAGCGAGCAGTTAGTCCAGTGGTGTCATGAAAGGGCTGAATGTGGAGCGAGAGACACAGTGGATGCCAAGATTTCTGGGAGCTAAGGAAGGAGAATGATGGGTAGGTGATAGAGATCCTTTCACATCTGCTTGCTGTTCAGATTTAATTTGCTAGCTGAGATCACTGTCATTTCAGGTGTGCTGGTTCACAGTGACAACCTGCGTTGGGAAGGGGTCCCTTTCCTCCTCACTTCTGGGAAAGCTCTGGATGAACGGGTAGGTTACGTCCGTGTTCTCTTCAAGAACCGGGCCTACTGCACTCAGAGCGAGACTCTGAGGGACGCAGGGCACAGCCAATGTAAGGCCAAGCAGATCATCTTCTACATTGGGCACGGTGCACTCAACACCCCTGCGGTGCTTGTGAGCAGGAACCTTTTCAGGCCTGTCATGCCAGAAGGCAGTTGGAGAGAAGCAGTGGGTCAGTCAGACCTGCACATTTTTGGACAACCATTGTCCGATTATTACATGTACAGCCCTGTGAAAGAGAGAGATGCATATTCTGTCCTCATCTCCAACATCTACCATGGCAGGAAGGACTTTTTCATTACCACCGAGAACCTGTTGGCCTCTTGGGGGTTCTGGACACCACTGCTGGACAGTATTTCTCACCAGCCCCTGCGCCTCTACCCTGGGGGTGTGGAGAACCAGCACCTCTTAGACTTTGAAATGGTGAGTGGGGAAGTGGCATTCACACTGGCAGAGCCAGTGGAACTGCTGAACCCCAACAGGCTGATGCCGAATGATTACAGGACAATCCAGTCCAAATTTCGGCAACATCCCCTGGTCTCAGCATGGTCTGAGGACCTGATCTCCCAGCTGGCTTCTGACATCGAGAAGACAGCAAGCAGGACTGTGGCACATTCTGGGCAGTTCCACCTGGCCCTCTCGGGTGGCTCAAGCCCGGTGGTCCTATTCCAGCGGCTGGCAAGACACCATTATGCCTTCCCATGGAAGCACACCCACATATGGCTGGTAGATGAACGCTGTGTCCCTCTCACTGACACGGAGTCCAACTTCTTCAGCTTGCACAACCACCTCCTCCAGAGTGTCCGGGTGCCCTACTTCAATGTCCACCCCATGCCTGTGCACCTGAACCAGCGGCTCTGTGTGGAAGAGGACAGAGGCACGGAGCTGTATGCCAAGGAGATCATGGCACTGGTGGCCAATGCCAGCTTTGACCTGGTGCTGCTGGGGGTGGGCGCCGATGGGCACACTGCCTCGCTCTTCCCCCACTCTGAAAATGGCTTGGAAGGGGCTCAGACGGTGGTGCTGACTGAAAGCCCCGTCAAACCTCACCAAAGGATGAGCCTTAGCCTACCACTCATCAACCAGGCCAGGCAGGTGTTTGTTCTGGTTTTGGGGAAGGGTAAGCACGACATCACCACCCTGCTCAGCAGAGTGGGCCGTGAGCCAAGGAAATGGCCTGTCTCGGGTGTCAGCCCCAGCTCTGGCCAGCTGGTGTGGTACGTGGATTATGAAGCTCTGCTTGGGTGATGCTTTCACACTGTCCCTCCTCCCTTGTCTGCGTGACCCTTACAGCCTGGATTTTCCTACACAACATCCATGTTTTTCTGTTGCCAGCAGCTGCTTCATCTCTGACAGACTGCTCTAACCTTCTGGGAAGTCCGTGGCCTGCCGCGCCTCTGACATTTGAGCCCGGAAAGGAGCTCAGCTCAGTGTTCAGAGCTACGTAGGAGACAAGAGCCCAGTGCAGCATTTCTGGCTCTGCTAGGGATTCTGACTGTGACTTTGGACAAATTACCTCACCTTGAAGTGCCTCGGTTTTCCCTGTCAGGCCTTTGTGGTTATTAGCATGTAACTACCTCACAGGCACTACAGGAGACTTGTTAAATTAAGTACCTGCCAAATTTTTTTATTTTTATTTTTTAATTCTCAGGTCAGAAGACAGTAATAAATGTTCATCCCCTACTCAGCCTGTCTGCCACAGAGTCGTTGTCTTGGTAAAATGATGGTTCTGTGCACATGGGTCTGTAGTCTTGTATGTGCAGCCCATCTTGGTGTCAGTCAGCCACTCATGATGGCCAAGCTCTCCTGGAAGTGTAGACGCCCATTTGCTTTTGTGGCATGTGGCCCCTAAGTGCTACGCTGATTTGTGAGCTCACTGCAGTCCTGAGTCTTTGCAAATTTCCCAGCGGCAGAGGCTGAGTTTATAAGCAGTAATTTGCTGCTTTCATTAAGTGGATATCTGATACCATGGGGGATGGAGAAGGAAGACACTTTGCTTTTTAGGCTGTTAGAATAATGGGGACAGGGTGAGGAATATGGCAGTTCACAGAGCTGTTATTTGCCTGCAGTGCAATAATTATTGAGGGAGAAGCTTTGTGTTCAGAGTGGTTTGGGTTTAGCTAGCAAAGAAATGTTTTCTTTAACCTTCTTTCTCTTCCTTTGTCTCATTCTCTGAAATGAACTTTTCTCTGTCCTCAGAATTGAAGCTTGCAGTGTCATTCGGTGGCTTATAAAATTTCTACACGAGGCAGCTTTATAAACTATCAATGTATCTGTCATTACAGCACATGTTAGGGTAGTTATAATGTTCACAGATGGTGGTGGTGGGGTTTGAACTCTGACTTATAAGGGGAGGGAATTTTCTCTGCACGTATATCTCTTGGGCACATGGAACTAGCGAATTGCATCTCTGTGTTGACAGGACATTAAGTGGTTATAGAAATGCATAGTTCTGTTGCTCACAGGAAGGGTGGGAGACATCTAGTCCTATCTAGAGACCCCACTCTCTCCTCTTCCTAATTTTCGCCTTCCCAGAAAGCTGCCACGCACAATGGGTGTGTATCTGTTTCCATGATAGCCCCAAATGCTCCGTGATCTTCTCTAATGCGTAATTCACCCCAGCACACCAGAGTGCAGCTTTTGGTAAGGAAATCAAGACAGCACAGGATGGGAGAATCTGAGCTGATGGTCCATGTGGAGGTTAGAGACAAACCCACTCACCCTGGGGTAGCGCCAGGATGGGACAGACCCACTGCAGGAAGCTGGAACCACGGATGCGGTACTGGCTGCCCGCAGGGAGAGTTCTGCATAGGAGGGGAGGCTGCTTTCAAGGGGATTTCTCTCTTCTTTCTGTGGATGCTGGCCCTGTTTCCGCAGAGAAGTAGCAGTGTGAGGGTGACAGGGTAAAGCTGGAGGGGACTGGGGTGCCCCAGGGACCGAGGGCTGGGCAGGGGCCGTGCTGCTGACAGGAGATGGCGCCCTGACCCTGAGAAGCAGCAGTAAATTGTGTGCTAGGCTGAGGCTGGGCCAGGCTTGGCTGCCCTTCACAGCCCTGGAGCCTTGCAAGGAAAAACTGCGATCCACAGGAGCTGGACCTAGGAGTCCGGTGACCTCTTAGGGAGCGGAAAGTCTGCAGTATAGAGAAGGAAGGAGACTTTGCTTTAGAGAGCTTGGCGATAGGCATTGGCTTAAAATCCCTCCCTGCACAGGGGTATGCTGAATCCTAATGATGAAGATGCAAATCTGGGTACGAAGAGGTGCTACGCTCTGATAGCACATGAAGCAAGGTGGGCAGGTCCATACAGCGTGTGCTCCCAGGTACCTTTCGCCATAGCGCTTCTCTTAAAGTAGAAATCAGAATTGTTGTCCGCTGCTAATTGCACAGAGGAAAGTGCAGAGTGAGCTCCGGAGAGCCTGTTACTCGTCAGCAGTCCCTAGGCAAACAGAGCCAAGGAGAACATAACCTGGCAGAAGCTATGTGTAGAAGGAAAAGGCCAGATTTTCAGGGACTGGCTGTGATTTCTGGCAGACACCCTCCCCCACCTTGCAGATGGTCCAGAAAAGCTGCATTTTACATACTGTATTTGACTAAGCTGAGCTGAGTTGCACTAATGCGCATCGCTTGGCTTTAGCATGGGAATAGAGAGGAGTTGTGGTGCTGCTTTCTCAAAAGCTCAAACGCAGAAGAGACACAAGTGCCTTAACTGGTCTGGTTTGACAACCAGCATGGCTGGTTACCCGTCTTTTGTGGGTGTTTGTGAATAAATTTGCTCCTGCCTATTTCATGGTTACAGGCAGGCGTAACTACCAGCCCAAACACCAAAGGGTGAAAATGAATCACAGGGGAAGAGAGTTGCATAGCAAAGAGGGAGGAAGGTGAGCGCTGCAGGACTTGCTTGTCAAGTGGATGTGCTGACAGTGGAGTCTGGAATAAGCACATACACTTAGGAGTTAACTGGAATAACTCTTCTGGAATAATTCTCTTCGTAGATGAGTGCTAGCAAACACTGGCTCCAAAATATACCACAGTGGCTGAAACAGCTGTGCAGAGGAAGATGTTTTAGGTCTGGTATGTCCATAAATTCAAACATAATTTTTCGCTTTTAAATAAAAATAGCCATGTTAACTTCATTCCAGTTCTTTTCTATTTGGTGTGAGGGAACAAGTTTTAATGAAAAAGTGACCTATATGAGAATAAATATATTGTTATGAATGACAGAATTTATTACTACTTTACAGATGACTGTGGCATTGGTGTTATTTCTGCACACTTTCCTGTTAATATTTGGCTGGCACCTTTTGAAATAAATACTGATTTTAGAGAGGTTTATTTGCACTTTTAAATAACGTGTTTTTTTTTCCCAGAGAGTTTCTGTTCTTTCCAGCTGAAAATAGAGTTCGTTTGTGAGGTTTCTAACTGATCACCCCAAAATTCATCATTGATTTTATTAAAATCCAGTAGAAGCTTACATATATTTTTCTTGGTGAACATAACTGTCTGGATTGTTTGGGGTTTTTTTTTTGGACTCTATTTTCTTTTTACACAGACAATTCCTGTTAAAGTCTTCAATGCTTAGCATTTGCCAAGTGAAAACCAAATATTTTTAAATGTATAAAACTTGTGACTGGCATGAGAGAGACTGCATATGGGAGGAAGGGTTAAACAAGTAACAGATCTTATGAGGAAGAATGGTAGAAATCCACTGGGCTATAGGCCAAGGAAGCAGTACTATTTTTATTTTGTGAAAGCTAATAATAGGAGGTGTGCACCTTCTTGAGAGCTTGTATTAACCTTTCTTTGCAAAAGCAACTCCATGGAGTAACTTCTTATAGTCAGTTTCTCCCATAAGTGATTACTAATACCATTTTTATTATTTTTTTAAATGGCAAAGTGCATTTCTAGAATTCAGTGCTATGATTATTTATGTATTTTATAGAAAACTAACACTGTAAGTAATTCATTTTTCATTTCAACTTTTATAAATCAAGTTGCAAAATCTTATTTTCCCATGGGTAAAGTTTTGTGATTCCTTTCATGTTGTATAATTAATAGAAAATTATATTTATAAAAAAATAAATATTTTTTAACAAAAATGTCTTTTAATTTCTTGCAAAGATTGGTTGTCATTCTGGTTCATTTCCTGTCCTCTTGGTGAGCGAAGTTTTAAAGTTCTAGTTGTGCAAAGAGGAGAAGTTGAATTTTCTGTAGTGTGAAACCAGCATTCTTAAATGTTCAGTCTGACTCTCTTTTTTTGTGCATCATCCAAACAAGGCCAGGACTTTTCAAAACAGAGGAACAGCCAAAGCCCATTTAAAGTGAGAAGATGGAATCACCCAATACTACACAGGGTGCTGGAATCGCCAGGCCTTAGGAAAGTCTCCACTGATCCACATTTACTCCCTGAGTTGCATTTCCATAGATACCATCACCATAGTACAGAGCTGCTTAATAACATAGACTTTATAGAGCTGCATTTTTAACTATAATCTATTCAAGATCTGTGAGCTGAGATTATGCAGTTGAACTTCAAGAGGGAGCTGTGCCGTGACTCTGGCGAGGAAGGCATTACGCAGGGCCCCGGCGCGGAGGCCTGGCCTCCAGTTTAGCTGATACCCACGTGTTGCTGTCCAGAACCAGCCACCTTTTCCTTGGAGAAAGGAAAGCCTCACTTAGCACCTCCATTACATAGAAAGAAAAGGTACAGTGCCCCCAGAAAGGGGAGGGATAGCACGGCAATTTCACCCTATTGCTGTAGTGGAAGGCTTAATTTTCCTGTCAAGAGGATAGGAGGATTTAAATCAGATGCTTTCTTGCTGATCACAAATGCTAGTTTCCCTGAATGCAGCTGAAAGGGCACCGTACATCCACAGACTCCTGTGGGTTTTTAGTGCATTCCCTGGGCTGCTAATGTAGCAGAGCATTTCTATAGTACTAAGTGATGTGGGTCTTCTCCTCTTCAGTGTCCAAATCCTCTGCAGTTTTCCCTTGGGTGTCCAGGAACATTGCTATGATGTGTGTATGATACCTTCTTACACTGTTAGTGATGCTGAATTATCTAAGTGACCCATACGTATGAAGATGTCTGTGCAGGTGAGGAGATATAACAGTCATGTCACTGGGCTGGGACAGTATTTTACCATCCAGGCCAGAAGTGTTTTAAATCTAATTTAGAGAGAGTTCTGTTCTAGTTTAGAGACCATTGCACATCACTGAAGAGAAATACTCAAAACAGTTACAGGATTAATGAATCTTTCTCAAACACAGGGAGCAGAGGCAGTGGTGGTAAAAGCAACAAAAACTTCAGTGTCTTAATGCTTTTCAAAACAAGTATTTTGGTGCTTCTCCCTTGGCCACAGCTCAGGGCAATCCTTAGTAGTGCCTTTGGATTCATTCCTGCCTTAGCAGGGATTTGGTTTATTGCCTTCCTATCCCAAAAAATTATGACTGAAAATGTGGCCGTTGCCTAAAAAGGGGCAAGAAAGGAGATGGAGGGAAAGGAGTGAAAACCAGTACGTTTCAGGAGCCAGAGCCATCCTGAAACAAGCTGCCTTGTGAGATGTCTGTGGGTAATGTAAATCGATCCAGTTCATTCCAGCTGCTCCCCCTGCAGAGAGCTGGCATGATGTCCTGTAGCAATGCAGCACCAGGTTCTCCTGCACCACTGCAGAATCTGCCAGGCCTGTGCCCTCAAGCTGCTCCCTGCGGCGGGACATGTTGGCTCTCCTTTGACAGATTGCTCTACAGAGAGGAATTTCCCGCAGAAACTATGTCCTGGTGGCGCTCTGACCAGACATGGCCTCATTTTTTCCTTAAACAGGGCTCCCTTTTTGTAGGCATCTCCTTATCCACAAAACAATCTGGGTCCTGTGTGAGTGATGTTTGGCTCTGAGCAGTGTTGCTGAAATGAGACCTGTGCACAGACACAAACTGTTGAGCAGGTTCTTTTTGGTAGATCCTAGCCTATTTTTAACAGGATTCAGGCATTTTTTTAATGATTTGCTTTTCTTACATGGGCTGATTTTATGGGCAGCACAGTACGCTATGTGTTTGAAGATTTGGGGAGTCTCCCCCTTGCTACTCACAGAGAGGGAAGAAAAGGAGATAGGGAGATGGGGGGGATGGGGAGCGGAATGGAAGCTCAAATATATGTTTTTGGCTGAGCTGTGGGGGACTGGAGCTGCAGCTGGTACCAAGCTCAGCTTATTTCCCCACCTGAAGAAGGGAAACCTGGGGTCTGGTGCTAGGGAAGAGGGCAGCCTGCCTTTAGGGAGAGGGAGGAAATAGGAGACCAAGTGCTCTGAGGTGTGTATATCCCATTTGGGAATATGCTTGTGGGATAGACCTGATTGATGTTAAACAGCTTAATTTGGGAAGAGCAAAAATTCCCCAGCAAAAGGGAGGGAAAAAACATGGGCGACTAGGATTCACCTGACTGCATGGATCCTGCATCATCCCACAGCTTTCTAGGGAGCCAGTTTGGTAGTGATACAGCATCATGCTGTGTGCCCCATGGTAGGATTGCTTAGGGATGGGAGGAGTCGGTACTCCTTTGGGAATTGCAGGTTGGTGGTCAGCAGGGGAGAGCTGAAGGGGCAGGACTCTGCCACTGACTCACTGTGGCTGAGTCACGTTGCTTGCCTGAGTTCCCCTTTCCTCTTGCTATGCAGCAATAGTAAATTAGCTGCCTCATGGGGATGTGAAATGTTTGGAAGAGGCTGGAGAAAGGTTGCTGGAGGAGTGGAGAGCCTTATCCTACAGCGTCCCCGTTGTGTGTATCGAGTTATCTTCATCAAAGAATATCAGTCAAAGCACTTGCCAGGAACAGCAGCAGTCAAAATCTTTCCAGCACACAGTCAGGGCCTGTTCTTGCTGCTATTATCTGCTGCAAGCAGATGCTGCCTGGCATCTGCTTTCCCAAGAGCAGTATTTTGACATGACCAAACTGTCTGACAAACAAACCACCCACATGCTGCTGTGTTTTGACTTGCAGAAGGACATTGCTGTAGATGTTTTTTTCTGAGCTTCTCTCTGGAGTACTTAGGTGTCTGTAACTAAAAAGGTGTTTTGGAGGCAAGCATGCCAGCAGCAGAGGGTGCTGCTTGCTCATGCTGCAGGAGCTGGCGGGAGCCACTTTTCCCAAACCAGTCCTGCAAAGGGAGCTTTTCCTAGAGACACAGCTGGGCCTCTGACACCAACTCTCTTGCTGCTGGTCCTTGAGCCACACACGGCGCATTGATCTCCTGTGGCACAGAGAGCGCTCGGGTCAGCCTGCTCTCCCGGGAGCTCCTCCACAGCTGCTATTCCTGTATTATCCAGGTTGCTACCTTTTCCCATTCATGGCCCTCCATCGAAAAGGCAACAGCTCATTTTTCTGCTTCCCCACTGTCAATGGCTTCTCATGCACAGACTGTGACCATGTGCTTAGCCTCCTCCATACAGGCTTGTGACATACAAGTAAGCAAAAGGAATATTATGACGTGCCCTTTTGACTGCAGACAGTTGTGTCAGCCAGTAAAGTTACTGTGATTTTAAGGGAGTGCTCCCAGCATGTGCTCTCATTAAGAGGTAGTCATGTCTGTAGCATATGTACCTCAGATGTAACTGGGTGACCAGCTGGTGTTGTAAGGGTTGCTCCAAATAGAATTGGAAGTTTGTAGAGTATCTTCTGCATCCACGTGCCCCAGTGTTACATATAACCCATTCTTCAAGGCAGGCCACTTCACATCCAGCACCCTATGCTGAAGCAGAAAGGCAAAGGAGCAGTGACAAGAGATGTCACAGCAAGCCCCTGCTTTCCAGGTGAATGTAAAGCAAAATACCTGCATTCTACTTTGTTTCAGATAAAGGGCTTAATTTCATTCAACAGCCTCATTTACTTGTGTTGCAGTGCACAAAGTGTTGTGTTGACTGTGCTGAAAACTGAATTCACAAGGAGAGCCTAACTACAAGGAAGATGACTTTTTTATCCTGCAAAGGGCCCCTGGGGGGTTGCCTCTTTTTTCCTCCTCCATCCCACTCTCTTCTACTCCCTTTTCCACCACATTGAGCCATCTTCCAGCTGAGGAGGGCTTGTTGATTGTCCTCTAAGCAGGCTTGGCAGGATTTCTACCTCATGAGGCTGCTGTTTTAACAGCCTCTTTCTCTGCTCTGCGGCACACTGGGTTACTTTGGCTTTGTTGCTGTACATTACAGACACTCATTGTTCATTATCTGTTGCATTGTCTCCCTTAATTCCCACAGGCAGAGCCTGCATGCAGCACGTACATGTTTCCGGGCAGAGTGTTTACTCTCTCTCTCTCCCCCCTCTCCTCAGGGCATAGAAAGCTGCGTGTTTTCTGCCTGCCTGTCTTTATACAACACCCCCCTCAAAATGCAAAGTAATAGGACCCCCTTTTTTGCTACAGCCTACCAGCCTACTGCTGCAAGGTTAGTATCGGTCAGGCATAAAGCACATCTACAAAGTTTGTACCAGTCTGAGAGTCCATGCTCTTAAGAAAGATGTAGATGCTTAACTTCAGACATTCAAAAGGGACCCATTTTTCAGAAGGTGGGTGCTCATCCACTTCCAGACCCCACAGCTAATCTATAATACTGAACGTTGATCACAAGAAAGGAGGCACGCCAAGTCACACCCCCCCTCCCACCTCTCTTTTTATAATCGTAGCATAAATTCATAAATTCACAAGGATGAGAGCTGGAAACGTCTCTTTTAAACCAGGCTCCATTCCCAGTTAGTTTTCCAAACAGGCTTAGAGGGGTTCCATTGCAGGCCATAAACACTGGCATATGTCGGTCACCCCCCGTGCCACTGTTTGCACTGTTGTTTGAGACATAGACAATATTCAAAGCAAATGATTGAAGATTAGCAATTCCTGCTTCTTAAGGAAGCAATAAAGCAAAATAGTAAGGAAATAAAAGGAGACAAGATTCCATAGGAGCTGTGATCTCATCTGGCGAGAAGCCACCACAAAGCTGAAAAGTTCTGCTTCAGCACTTGTCACGTCTGGTTTCCTCCAACTTCCCTGCTGCTCTTATACCTCCTCCACCCCATTTCTCCCTCTCACTGTAAAGAACAGATAATGGGTCATAGTGCTGACCAGTGCTGGGAGGCGGGTAATGCGGCTGCGGTGGAGTTAGCAGAGCAGCTGAATCCACTGGCAGACTAAAGCCTGCTGAGTTTCCTGTACAGTTCTCAGACATCATTCACAACTTTCTTGGACTCAGTGATGACATGTCTCTGCTGCTGCAGAAGGTGCTCATGCTGTGCTGACCCCGGGGAGCTGTGGCTAGGCAGGCCAAGGAGAAACTACTTTGAAGTCTCCACAAGTGAGCTCTTGGGCTTCCTTCAGGACCCTGGCCCTGGCCATTGCTCTGTTGTTCCCCCAGGTTACAGCAGATGGGCAGGAAAAGGTCTCAGAGTGAGAAGAAAATTCCACATCTCTAGGCATCAAGAGCTATTGCCAGCCAACTAATTAACCACTGCCTCCCTTCTGCCTTTCTAGATTATGAATCCACTCTAGCCTTTGCCCCACTTCCACCAGTCAGGTTCTCACATTACAGCAGCCTCCCACCTTGGCAGGAATGAAACAAAGCATCTGAAGTAGGTGCACTTTAGTAAGTGTAGTAGATTGGTTTACTGTAAAAGAGAATCTGGTCCACAGAGCTCCAATTTTAAGCAGTTTTTGGAGTCTCCCTAGAGAGCACTTCGGTTTGTCTTGCTCTCCAGCTAATGTATGCCTGGCACATACCTCTAACATCTTTGGCACTGGCAGAAGAGACAGGAGTGTATCTTCTGAACAGTGAAGAACAACTGGGAGAACTTTCCACAAAGTTGGATTCACACAACAAGCTGACAGAAAACACTGGAGGCAGTCTGCAGTGTCAGAATCCATCTGCAGCTTCCTCAGGGTCTCTGGGTGAGCATGGGCCCCCAAGGTTTGGCTAACTGTCTGTCCTGGTTTCTGCTGAAATAAAGTTGATTTTAATTCCTAGTAGCTGGTATAGTGCTGTGTTTTGTATTTGGGATTAGAATAACGTTGATAACACGCTGCTGTTTTCAGTTGTTGCTAAGCAGTGTTTATACTAAGTCAAGGACTTTTCAGCTTCTCATGCCCTGCCAGGGGGAGGCTGGGAGTGCACAAGAAGCTGGGAGGGGACACAGCCAGGACAGCTGACCCAAAGGAGCCAAAGGGGTGTTCCATACCATATGATCTCATGCCCAGTATATAAACTGGGGGGAGTTGGCGGGTGGACACCACAGCTCAGGGATTGGCTGGGCATTGGTCAGTGGGTGGTGAACAACTGCACTGTGCCTCACTTGTTTTGTATATTCTATTATTGTTATTATTTTCCCTTCCTTTTCTGTCCTATTAAACTACTGTCTTTATCTCAACCCGCGAGTTTTGCTTTTTTTCCTGATTCTCTCCCCTATTCCACTGGGCAGGGGGGAGTGAGTGAGGAGCTGTGTGGTGCTTAACTGCCGGCTGGGGTTAAACCACGACACTGTCCAAGAACTGAACAATAATCTACAGGAGAAGCCTAAAGGGGGAGATTTTCACAACACACTTGGGGGACTATTGATGAAGAACTTTTGCTGAAATTAGCGGGGAAAACTGACTTAAATGGGAGCAGGACCAGGTCAAAGCAAAGTAGTTTTGAAAAAGCTACCCAAATATGTATCTATTTAATATAAAACTTCTCCTATTTCTATCTCACAGGGTGTGAAAGAACATATTTGTGCTGTATCTACAATCTCCCTGGTGTTTCTGGTCAGCTAGAGTAATAAATTTAATCTAATGTGAATGTGTTTTTTTAATGAACCACAATGGCTGGCATAGAGCAACTATTCCCCAAGGACTTCAAAATATGCTTAACAAATTAGTGCCTCAGTCCTGCAAAGATATGAGTGCACATATGAACAACTTCATATGGATGCACTGTCCCATGCAGTTCATCAGAATTTCTTTCTCTGCATTGGCTGAAGTCCTCTTTTGGGATTTTTATGACTGCACAGCCTGGAAGGGGTGAGGAGGAGGAGAGTGTTCAAGAGGCTAGATACCCCACCTTGGCCTTCGCATTACATTCATTTCTTCTGACTTCTGACAGCACAGTGGGTTCAGTGCTGGATCCTGCCCCATTATATGTCACTGAATATCCTGCTGTGTCCACTTCTCTGAAGAAATAACCTAACAGTGGCTATGGTTTGGTGGCGACCATGCAATTTCATTTCATCCCGTGTGCAGCTGCAGGATTTTTTCCCTTGTAAGCACTGATACAACTAAGTTGTACATTAATGCACTGCCCATGAAACATGACAAAAAGCCTGCTCAACTCTCAGCAGAGTACACCTCCTTCTGCCACCCTCCCCAGAGATCCAGCACACGTATACACCCAGGAGTCACCTTCCTCACTACTCACCTCCCCACTCACGAAGAGGAGCACAGCCAGGAGGAAAACGGCTGAGTATTCTGTCTAATTAGAGGTGGAAAAGGAGAATGCACTCACACATTTATGGTTCAACCTTATTTGAATTAAGGCCCTGTGCTGGAAATGAAGCTCAGTCAAGATGAAAGAAAAGTCGTCTGGAAGTAGGGACATAAAAATGAGGACACACAAATTAACCCTGCTCTTTTTTTCACATGTGCCCCAAGACCATTAGTGATGAGAACTGGTCAAGGCCCAACGTTAATGTCCAACCCCCCAAAACAATAACTTCAGCAGTATGCAGGGGCATTTGTTCCATACTGACTCAGATGGCAGGCTGCCACCTCCTGAATCATTCATACCACTTCCTGCAGCTCTTAGGTGGTCCTTGGAGGTATCCCATGCAATATGGCTTGCTTAATTTATGACAATCCACTGGTTTATAGCTCCAAGCAGTATTGCTACAAACAGACTCTTTTTGTCTGGGAATACTGAGAAATGAATCATCTCAGAGAGACATTACTTGGTCAAATTTGTCAAAAAAGTTGCTTTGTGAAAAAAAGACTGAAAAGAATTGCATTTCCCTGATTTATTTTGGTAAACAGATCAGTTTTAAAAAAGCAAGCACGCGTCCCCTGGAGCGTTCGCAACGTAAATATTGCAACACCGTGCCCATGTATAAGGACCCCGAGGATGCAATCCGTTAAGAAGCGACCAGCTTGCCCACAAAGACATAACCGCTGCTCAGCCTGCGACTCGCTGCTATTTTTAGCCGTTCTTCGAGTAAAGCAGGGCCGTAAGGCATTAACCAAGCCCGGCAGCGCTGCCGGCTGCGGGGCGTTTCTGCCCCCCCGGGTGCCCCAGCTCGGCCCGGGTGCCGTGTGCCGCCTTTCCCCCCGCAATGAACCCACCGGACCCCACCGCCGGTTGCGCCTCCGGGGCCGCCACTTCCCCCCGCCCGGCCCCGCCCCGGCCCCTCCCCGGTGGCGGCGGGCTGCCCGCGGCGGGGCGGGCCCGGGCGGAGCGGGGCCGCGCCCCGGGCCTGGCCGGGGGCGGAGCGGGGCCGCGGCCGGGCGCTATTTGGGCCATGTGACGGGCCGGGCCCCGCTGGCCGCGCCTGGCGCCGGGAGGAGCTGGGGGTGTTGCGGCTTCGGCCTCCCCGCCGCGGCGGAGGAGCAGCAGCAGGCGGGCGGCTGCTCTGGCCGCGCTCCGCTGCTGCACCGCCGCCCCGGGAGCAGCCTCCGGCGGGGCCCGGCCGCTGCCATGGTTGGGCCGGCTGCCTGGGAACGGTAGGAGCCAGCGGGGGCGGGCGGGGCGGTGCGTGCCCGCGGGGCCGGGCGGCCCTTCCCCGGGCTGGCGGCGGCCGGCCCGGCTCCCCGCCGCGGGCTCCGCGCTGCCGCGGCCTCCGCCTCCCTCTCTCCCTCCCTCCTTCCCTCCCTCGGCGGGTCTCTCTTCCCTGCTGCCCTCCCGCACAAGCCGCCCGGAATCGGTGCCAATTTAAAGCCCCACCAAAACGCCAGGCTGGGGTGAGGCATCGCTTGAGCCCTTTGCAAGCCCTGAGTGGCTCGGGAACCGGCTCGCGTGTGCTGTGGGGCCGCACCTGAGCGTGGGAGGCCCCGTCCCTGGGGAGCACTGGTGTCAGTGGGGCGCGGGGATGGTGGCTGGGGCTCAGCGAGCTCCCGTTGCTCAAGGGAGCAGAGGGGCCTGAGGAAATCCCGGCGTTTGCGAGGGTCGTGGAGCTGCAGTTGGGATGCCGTGAGATGGGTGGCTGCCAGAGGCCAGCTGGCGTAGTTGTGTGTGGATTTGAAAAGCAAACACAGATAATTTCAGCTCGGAGATCTTCAACTCATTAAGGAAGTCGGGTTGTTTGTTCAGTGTCTGTGGTTACAGTGGTGGTCTCTGGAGCACACCTTACAAGGTCTAATTAATACGTCTGGGTTTTTTAGTACCTAAACCTATGCTAATACAAGGGGAGCTTATATAATCCTATACCTGAAGTACCTAGGCTGTTGTTAAGGGAAGAGATTAATCTTGCTGGAGCCTTGTGTTGAAGTATGCCGTTTGTTCTCCTTGTTACCTGTATGAGAAGTAGGCGGTCAGTGTGGCTGATGACTGGTGGTGGCCATGCCTGATTAGAAACCTGCGAATTGTCTGAGCCATTGCCCAAGATAAGGAAGTTTACAAAATGATTGTGAAAATGGGAGTTGCTTGGAGAAAGATCAGCTCTTTTTTTCCTGATAGCAAGGCAGGATGAATTTATGAGCCTTTTGTCCTAAAAGCAGACTTTGCTTTTCCCAACCCTCTAATGTCTAATTTCTACACCAGATTCTGCACAGTAGTCTTAGCAGCTTAGTCTTGCTGGGTGCAAGTTGACTGCTAAATTACCAGGGCCAAACTGTGTGGAGTTTTCAGTGGCTTACTGTAAAAGGGATCTGGCTACAGGATGGATGGGGTCAAAGTGGCTATCCCAGCCTATGAGGAGGAGGAGAACTTGGAGTTGGTGAGGGAATGACTGGCAATGTGATGGAGCTCTGCAGCTGTTCACAAAGTGAATGGCAATGTTGAGAATCCCTGAAGTGGCTTGTTGAGGACAGCCTTCCCTGACCAGCCAGTGGCTACTGTGCCTGTCGCTGCCCTGCTCTGTCTGTATGCCTGGCCACTGGCCCTGTCATGGCTCTCAGTAGTTGTGATGATGGATGCATAAAGCAGCTATTTCTTCTCCCCCCCTGAAGACAAGGAATGAACTTCAGCAGTGTATTCCTCTGGGGGGCATCGTATTGTTGCAGTACATCAGCAGCAGCCTTTTGCAGCCTCTTTCTGCTTTACAGGTTACTAAGTGGACTGTAATGTGGTTGGAGTTTGTTTATAAAGTTATGTTAGATACTTCTGAGATGCAGGTTTGTGTTCCAGGAACTGGTTAGCTGATATGTGCTGCATTTGTGTGGAGTCAGTTCACTGCTGCTAGATCCTGGATGTGGAAAAGGTGTGGAAAAAATTGTTTTCCTGTGCTTTTTTTTTAATCCCTTGCCCCCTATGTTTCCTTTCCTCAGAAAAAGTGAAAGTAGTCTGCAGGGGTTGCCTGTCTTGTCAAGTCTGTCTTGCAAGGGCTAATTAAGAATTCATTATGTTAATGGCATTAAAAATCTGTGGCTAGTGAGCCAGTCAGGATACTGTATGCCAAGCTTTGTGAATGAGTGCAGACTCCACTAACAGTTAATCTTCCAAGTGACAATGTAGTTTTTGAAGAATATAAGATGTGGAAGGGAGTATGCTCTGTGGCTGTCTGAGGCTTGTCTCAGTCAAATTTTGTGGCTGCTGCCACTGACTACACTGGAATTGGCAACTGTTAGGGTAGCTCTGATAAGCTAGTGCAAGCTGTGCTTATAGTTCTGGGCTGTAGTACACATGTACTGACTGAGTCTGGAGTCACTAAGGTCTTGTGTTGACGGGGGAGTAAGGATTAACTGGTGTTGGCAGGGAGTATCAATGAGATGACCTCAGCTGGGTTGTGCTTTATGTCCTGTGGAAGGAAGCTTGTATGTGTATTAGTTAGTAGAGTGATGTAGCATTATAGCAGTAGAGAAACAGCTTAATAGACCTGCATGGATTACACTAACAAGCTCTGTTTTGGTAGGAGTTTCCCTAACCTTGACTCTACCAAAGTCTGGTTGGTGTATGTGGCTGGCTGTGAAACTGCTGCCCTGTTCCTTTATATTTGCAGGTGTGTGATGTGACTTAGCAAGTTAAGTTGCTCGTACAAGATATAAGTTAAACACTAGTTGCTTCCAAACAAAGCTGTCAAATGCCTGCAGAATAAAATTGAGTAAGCGTCTGAGAACCGAGGTTACCAAACTGCAGTCACTGGACTGCTTTGCTGGTGGTCATTGCAGTAAGGGCTGATGTCAAGGTGTTGACTCACTTCCACTTAGTACATTGCTCTGAGCAACAACAACAAAAAAAAATCTCTTGAGTTACTCCATGTGAGTAACTGCTACAGTTGCTACTGTTTCAATAAATAATTGCTGGGGGGGGGGGGGGGGGGGGGGGGGCAGAAGTTGGAGGCAGTGAGCCCAGTTGTCCTTAAGCAAAGATGAGATGTGTGCTACAGCAGATAGCCAAGAGGAAAACCTAGCTTAAAAGTAATAGTTCCCAAGCACATGGTGGGGGAAAAGTGCCCCTGTTAAGTGTGTTTTCCCAGGGACTACTAAAGCAGTGTCACATCTTTAAAAGAGGTGGGGAAGGGGTTGTTCATAGATCCCTCTTAACTCTGTACTGTTCTGTCCTCATAGGTAATGCTTTGGAAGCTCCTGGGCTAAAGTAAATTGGTCTGTTGCATTGATTAAGAAATTCTTTTTCTAGATGATTGTACTTTGGATGAAGTAGTATCTAGTCTAGAAAGAAGACATAATGGATCTGTCTTGGAAAGCTTCAGCAGTCCTGTTGGGCAACCGAGTATGGTAGGGGACTGAAGGAAACATTCTTGTGCATGGCAGAATGCATTCCTGGATAAATTAGTGAGCTGTAGAAATTCAATATAATGTATAAATATAGTGATGAGCGTGACTGAGAGGCAGCCTGCTCTGACACATTGCAGGAGAGAAATGCAAACCAAGTTGTCTGAAGGATATGAGAATACTACTGGAAACCAGGGTGTCTGCTTTGGTGTGTACCATTGGGAGAACTCCTATGATGTTCTTGTATGTCTGTTTCTGCTTGCCTCTCAGCTGCGAGGTTGAGAACAATCCCTTATCTACCCTGATCCTTCCACCAAAGGACAGACACTTAGCTTCTGCTGTGTCTGCACTAACAGCTTCATGTAAAAGTCATGAAGAAGTCTGAGAGCAAGAGAATGGGCGTCTTGTCAGTCTAGCTCTTTCACTGACTTCCTTTTGTCCCAGTTATCTTCCCTGATAAACTTGCAATTCTGTATCAAACACTTAAACATGTGTTGTTAGGTATAAGTTTGTTTAGCAACTCCTCCCTGATTTAGTTGCAGGTATTGACATTCTTGGTGGCAGTGAAATTTTCCTTCTGTTCAGTGATTGGAATAACTGACCAAGTACCAAAATGCTAATAAATCCCTGTACATCTTCATAGACAAGGCTTCCCTCCCCTGCAGTCAGTCCAGCTGGCTGATGCTTTTCTTTCTTGAAATGTGAAGGTTTTCTTCAACCAAAATGTTTGTTGCAAATGCATCCTATTATGGGGGATTTAAAAGCCAGCAACTTTCTGACTGAATTCTTAGCTAGTCATGAGACAGCCTGTCACCATCTGCCAGTGTGATCTTGAAACAAACCTGTCTGAGCTCTGGAAGCAGGCTGTGCTAGTATGGTTTTGATCCTGAAGAGGCTAAGAAGTTATCGATGCTCTGGAGTTGCCTACCTGGAAACTGTGTGATTACAGAGTGTTTTTATACAGCAAATAAGATTTAAATGTTCTTTCTGAGTGTTAATTTCTTCCTTCTTCTGTAGCTGTAGGGTGGCACAGGCTGCCACCTGTGTAGCGCTTAAGGGAAGGAAATACAGCGGACTTTCCCTAGTGAAGTAGATTTGGTGTGAGCTGGATATTGTACTGAGGTCTACCCCCAGCATGTGAAGTCAGTGAGTAAGGGTACTGACAGAACAGTGAGGTGAACCATGAATAATGTCCTATTGTTGAGCTGAAATGGAGTAAGACTTAAGCTGTCCCAGCCCAACGGGCTGCCTTTGCAGAGGCCCCTGCTTTGGCAGGAGTGTTAACTATACATTTAAGCTCTGGGCCTGGACCACTGGGGTGATCAGATGCAAGTGCTGGTTAGTGAGGTGGGTGCTTGGTGCTGTTTCATGACTGCTGGGGACAGTTCTGTTTGTCACATGTTGTTGTGCTTGGGTTTAAGGTCCAGAGCTTTCCAGGCCAGCTGGTGCTCGTGGCAATCTGACAGTACTGCGTGTGCTCCAGGGAGTGTGGTTTAGGGGGATGAGTGTAGGGCTGTGAGCCAGGGACAGCTGTGGGCTGATCCTTTCTATACATCTGACTTGATGTGTGGCCTTGCTTCAACTACTCAACATTTTGCATTAGGGTTTTTTAAAAGGGAGAAAATAAAGCTACTGCTTTTTTCTCTGACCCCCTTTGTCAGGGATGGATACTAGTACCAGACTTTATCCAATGGGCTCTACCCTGTGATTTATCAAAGCAGTTGGAATAGGAAAGACTTATGATGCAGGGATTTCTGGCAGTGGAGTGGAAAAAGTGGGAAATGTCTTTTCTGTCCACGGTGTGCAAGTGCCACAGTTAGGAGTGGGGGGCTTTC